AAACAAGATAGTTCTAGAAAATACAGGGCGCCACACCAGTCACGTGACCTCGATGACGCAACAATATATTGGATTTCGGAGAAAAACGAAGAAACACTTTTTAATATTTTAACACACATTTTTACCATAATCTTTCTATAAACAGTTCTTATCTTTGCTATCTCAGCGTGGAATATCTTTTCTTCATATTGTTACGTCTCTGTTCGTTAGTTAATTTTCCGTAAAAATTCTTTCCGAAGAAACTTTAGCGATACAAGTCCTTTCTTAAACAAAACTGGTTTATTCTTTCTGAATACACCTTTGCAGTACACTTAATTTCCACAGTTACGCTATAATTCACAACGAACGACTTACGTGCTCGACTCAGTTCAATTACATTACATTGTTGCTGTCACTTTTAGTGGCACAGCGGTATGTCTGCGGGCTTACAACGATAGAAACCGGCTTTCGATACCCGTGGTGGGCAGAGCACAGATAGCCCATTGTGTAGCTTCGTGCTTAACTTCAAACAAACAAGAACCATAAAAATGAATTTCGATGTTTGTCATTGTTATTTTCTGACTGGCTCCCTGCTTGTATTGTTCTTAATAATAGCTGTTTCTTTGTCAGAGTAGCATCCCCTTTTGTATGTAAAGTATTGATCATTCGTAAAAACGCACATTTCCCTTTAGTAATCCTACCTTCTCACTTGATGAATTCTTGAAAAAGCTCGAAGACTATAAGTTAAATAAAAAATAACCTTAACAAAGCCTAAAAAATCGGTGTTATTTAACCTCTCAATAGGTTTAAAATTCATGTTCGCAACCTTAAAAAAAGATACCTAAAACTAATTAGTTATAATTATTTTTGCAAGTTCAACTAAAATATCAATAATTCAATCAATTTTCTATACGTCACTGATTGTGTTTACCATAAGAGCTGAAGTGCCAAATAAAAATATAATCAAAATTAATATTGTTACGACAGCGGAAGTCACGTGACCCTAGTAACACGTCATGAACTTCTAGAACGTTCATGTCCCTTCCTGAAGCCTCGAGAGGTTACTAGATATGCGGTATTCTTGTATATATAAGACCGGTAAGAAGTTTAGCTGTGAATATTTGGTGTTCAGGAAATAAACCAGGAAATGGACTGAAATTTGCGGTATTCATCTCTCTGCTGAATAATCCAAAATAATAAATATCGTTAAAACATTATTTATGATACCCGACCTCAGGATATTGAGCGAAAGATATGCCGCATTGCGATAAAGATCTTATTAGATGCTTCTTACTGAAAAAGGGTATAGGGATAGTAAAGAAATATTTGGTAAAAATCTGTATTGACGTGATGTCGCACAAAAAAAATGATTTGTGGGTCATACATCGCCACAAGAACCATAAAGCCCCAAGTTCACACAGTGATATCAATTGTCACCTAGTGGCACCATTCCAAGCTAAATTATGATGAAGGCCTCTATCACATATTCTAACCAGTAAAATTATGCTATCACAACTTTCAAACATGGAAGGAGCGAAAGTGGCCCAATAGTTAGTATGGCAGACAATGGATCTAAGGGTACAACATTCGCGACCTTCTACTGACCCCCCCCCCAAAAAAAAAATACACACTTCATACTTTTGAGCCATAGGGACATTATAAGAGTGTTGGACAAAGAAGAGCAGCCTAAGAGCTGGTGGTAGGTGCTTTTCCTCCAGTCAGTTCAGAATTAGGAATGATTACCACAAAAATCCCCAGAAGTAGATCTGTGTAAATATATATAAAATCAAATAAACAGGGAAATAATGACACTACGTAAACTGAACGAAAATAAAATTATATATATATATATTCGGGTGTGAATTTGAAGTATCTGAATTTTTAGAAAGCATTTAACAAGGTGCCACATAAAAGGCTTGTTAAAAAATTTCCCTCGCTAGATGTGTGGGGCAGATTGGCTCATTGGATATCTGGATGAATGGACAAAAAGCAGAGAGTTCTTATAAATGAAGTACAATCAAACTGAATTAACGTCACAAGTATGGTACCTACGGCCTAATTGTTAGGACCTATGCTTTTTTGATCTACATCAATGAGATAAATAAGGAATTTATAATAAATTATTTTAATTTGCTGATGATATAAATATTTGGATTGTTTGAGTAATCTGTGCCCACCATGGGTATCGAAACCTGGTCTTTAGCATTATAGGTCCATAGGCTTACCACTGTGGAGGGAAGGATGTTTTTTGTAGTTAAATGTATATATGTATGATGTATTAATAACTGAACGTACTGCATCGTACCCCAGTTGTCACATGGACAATTAGAATGTTAGAAAGAGAAGAAAAATTGTGATAAACAAAACATTGATAATTATATTCTAGCCTCATTTGTTATTTCTTTGGAAGTTTTATATTGATTTGATGTCTCTTCCATTTTATTAGGATGTATTGTTCCAGTTACAAGAATATTATTTGAATCACATCTTTCAAAAGAAGAAGTTTCTGAGCATCAAATCGTTTTTATTAAGTAACAATTTGCATTAATTTCTATGATCTTAACTTTTAAATTATTTTTATCAGTTTGTAAGGATTTGAATGATGATCTCACCATTCATTGCAACGAACTCAATTGAAACAAGAATGAAACTAAATTAGAACAAATGTCAAAAAAAGTGTCATTACAAATCCACTGTAGTTGATGCACAGTTATGTCCTGATAATATTTATTAACATGGTATTTTAAATGTGAATGATATCTTATGTGATACAAGGTCTAAACAGTCAAGTCAGGGATTAAAGCATAACCATTCCTAATTTATAACTGCTAACTATTGAACAGGCAACTATTCTTAATCGACCAGCAGCATTTTTATAACGTGCTCACAGCTGGAATTACAGAGTATGTTCAGTGCCATATAGCAGTCTTTAAAAACTATGATCAACGATGTTAATAGGTAGGAAAATTGATATCCATTCTGAACTATTCTTTAATACCTATAATGTTTCTTGCTAAAAGTTTAAAACCACAAGTGCTAAATTTTAACCCAATGAATTTAAAATGAGGGATTCTTTGACTTTCTAAAAGACACATGTTCACAAGATTTCTAAATTCTCTTTCTCTACACCAACTGTTCTCAGATTCTGGGTTTCATACTTCCTTGGAACGGTCACAAAGAGCAAGTTGTTTTTCACACGTTTTAGCTTTAGAATATAGTAGAACTATATTCTCCTACCAAGAAATGTACTCAATTTATCTTTTTTTTTGGATGCTTTAAAATTGTGTGGTTGGGTGGGGTTTATGTCTTGTTCAAGACCACAAAGGGTAAATAATTTTGAAAACCACTGCTGTACACATACAGTAAGGAAACAAAAATTCTAGTGACAACAGCTCAGACTGTCAAGACGTACATAACCTGTACATATTAAATTGGAATTTTTCAGTAATAGTGGGTTAGCCTATACCTGAATTTATGTTGGCCTATGGAATTAATCTGTTCCACTTAAAATTGTCCTATTTACACATATCGAGAGTTTTTCTCCACTTACTTTTCTCACGGAATCTTATATTCCTGATTGTTGCTGTTGTTTTTTTGTTATTGAACGTCAATAATACACGACCTCTACACTGGATATTTACAGAAGTTATTTAGAACAAACTTATATGTACATATATAGAAACTACAACCATGGTCAACTGAAGGAGAGAGAGAGAGAGTGGAAATAAGGAAGTGGAGTGAGAAAATGAAGGTATGAAGGAAGGACACATGCTACTTCTGATCAAATTTAATTGGGCATTATTACTAGAAAATTATTGAAATGAGGAAAGCCCTTCCCAAAATCCTCAAGAGTAAAACAGTAGTGTAAGCAATAGTATTAAAATCATCTTATTTACATTGGGTATCTGGTGTTAAAAAAAAAAACATTAAAAATATAGATACGAAAATATACAATAATTAACATAGATAAGTTGTTACTTCCTTCTAGTTGACTCCGTGTGATCAGCGGTTTGGAATGAGGTACAACACGTTACCTGGAGAAACATGCTGTGACAGGACTCTGGAGGAAATAGAGCCTGTGCTGAACTCCTCCAGCACGTAAATATTTAAATAATAAATGAAAAGATAACCATTTCTTTCATTGTTTCAACGCATCATATCTACAATTTCGATAGCCTCGAGATTCTGTGAAATTACTATAGCAGGATTTTTGTAATTGCAAATACCGATTTGTAGAATAAATTCAAATCTTTAGCTCAAACAGCAGCCCACATTCAAACTTGTTTTTAATGTAAAGGCTTAACAACAAGATATATTTTTTTATTTTAATTTTTTTACACCATATTGAAGGTGCTAAATGGTATTTGTTTACAGAGTCCACTTCTCATATGCTCTAAGCACTCTAAATGTTTGGATTCTAGTCTCTCTAGGAAGTTTTTTATTCGTTCTTCTCGCTCTTCCCATAAGAGTTGGTTGTCTTTTTGGGGTACTTCTGTTGACTGACGTTGAACTGGACAGCTGCTACTAGTTTCTCCCGCCACCATCAACAAGAACTGCTCAATTTCCTCTTCATTTTTTACTTCAGCAGCATATTTTTTCGCTTTCTAAAAAATGAAATAACTTTTAGCTGTACGTCAAGAACTAAAGTAAATCTTAATTTCTGAACATCAAAAAAATGGGCTGAAAGTGATTTCACATGAAAAATATATAAAAGACAAAGAAACTTTAATTTATCCTATGATGTTGTAACAAAGGATACAAATAGCAATCAAATTATGGTGCAGAGAGGTTAATACCATTCATGATATAGATATAAATCCACGTCAGATATCATGCATGAACGGAGAAAACCCTCTAAAGACAAACTCTGGGGACATACTACAAACTTGTATAATGGCCAGCAACAGTACTTGCAAAACCTTTTGCAATTTCTCAATAAAATCAATTTGTTTTTATTAAAATAAAACTATCTTAAATGCCATTACTTGATTTGCAGTCAGTTAATCTTCACATCCAAAGTTATTAAACATAAGTATCAGAACATTAAAAATAGTGCATTCTTTGTTAAAATAATTTAAGTCAAAATTTATTAAATTTTTGGCTTAATAAGTCATAAAAATTGTAAAATGTAGATTTTTCGACTTGAAATGTGGTGGCAGGCAACATTAGGAGGTAGACAGTTACATGATACAAACCACCAACTAAATCAAACAGTTCTACTCATTTGACTTACACTTTAAATGCTAGACCCTATATCGTGGGAGTGATTGTGAGACTGTTACTTCAGTTCATACTTTGATTGAAAAATAACAAACCTGAATTGCATCGTAGTTATGTTGATAGTATAAAACTGCAGTAAAAAAATGCCAAATGGAAAATTCTGGCCACAGGACTTGAAGGAAAGCCAACACTGATAGCTCACTCTGCCAAAGCAAAAAGTCACTAAGCCGCACCTCTCCCGATGTTCTTATAAGCAAATCTGGATCGGTGGAATGTCTGGTAAATAAGCATCGTTCCATAAGCTTCTCTGTAATGTCACTGTAAAACAGCATGAAGTTAAATTAGGGTTAGTTACATCATATTGTTAAAACCGCATAAGTGACGGAAATAAGAAAATTAAATAATAAGTTCAACAATCGTCAATTTTTTATTTTTAAAGAAGAGTGAAGTTTCGAGCTATCACTCTTCCTCAGATCCTACAACTTACAACAAATGCACATACACCTTTGCCGTAAGCTGTACGATCTGACGAAGAGTGGTATCTTGAAATGTCATCCTTCCTTAAATAAAAAATTATTATTTAATATTTAGTAATGTCGTACATCAAGTAAATAACAGTACTTAGTGAATGTTAGCCACAACCAGATTCTTTTAATGTATGCCTTAATCAAAAACTCATCATACCTTTAAGAATACAAAATAAATGTTAACTACTCACCTTGGTATTAGTAATTCATCTTTCACACCCTCCGCCAAAGCTTGGATCGCGGTACATATTTCTTGCCGAGCCGTATATGCCATACACAGGTTCAAGTGTAACCTATATAATTAAAACAGGAAGAAACAAACTCTTAGAGCCAAAAACGACACAAGTACTTAACCCTCTCATAATTCTTCCCTGTTTTAGATATTGGAAAATCAATCATTGTCATAATTAGTAGCCTACATAACTGTCTTTTAACTACTAGTTATCAATTTCCTAACATCTGCTTTTGATGTCATGAAACGATGATTACGACTATCCATTGCTCTGGGCCTCAAAAAAATTACCTTTCTCAAAACTCCACTGAATATGATGGCCAATTAATAGCCAAGAAAAAAAAGGACATTGATAAACCAGTACTTTGTTCCTTAACAAATAATGGAAAAGAAGATGAGTATATGATGTAAAGCAAATTCTATTAACACAAGTTTACGTACACAACTATTATAACACACATCAAACACAGACGCTACAAATTGGGCCACTAGCACAATGGTGGGAATCTGCAGTGTTCATACGATTAAATAAAAAAAATCTTAATGTCATCAAAGCACATAACTACGATCCAACAGCACACACATAAGCCATAAAACTATGAACAATCTCTCAACACTTCGTGAACAAGTATTTTAAGTACCTTAAAATCTGAATGTAAGAAATACTGTAAGTTGATAAGGAAATGTACGAAAGTTGTCTTACATTCATACAATTTTACTTTACTCTTTGAATTTTTAGTAACACATGAATTATATTTTTAACTCCCTAAACCTGAGCGGGTGCTGCCAGCATCCAGCAGACAATCTCGATTTACCCATCGGACGATGATATTGAATGTTCGACAGGGATAGGTTTGAGGCTATTTACTCAACAATGCTTCATTTGTGTATCCATAATGCTCAAGGGAAAAACAAAATTAAGAAAATTGAAATTTTATAAGGTATGTTGATAATTATTAGGAAATCATGAAAATAATTCCAGCAGAATGTACAAAAACATTTACTGGTTTTAGAGAGTCGATACTGTATTTTGGTAATTAGTATTAAAATATTTTATAAAGTAATACATAAACACTGTACAAGAACACATCAAAGGCTTTGGTGTATACACAAAAAATTAACATATTTTAAACTGTTGAAAGTTCAACTAAATTCACTTTAATCGTTGCACTGAAACTGTTTATCTTGTACTAACATGTAAGGGGCCCAGAGTAATTCTCATTAAAAAAAGTTATTAATGTTCTTAAACATCTTTAATTAAAACTGAAGTTGAAACGTTTATAATTCATTACGGTTTTATTATGACTACCTTAATTCAGTAAATGTTTTTCACATTTTAAAGTCACGTAGTTCAAGTTTAAATACTCCCACCACACTATTACAATATTACCCTTTCGTATAAAAAAAAACAAAAAACTACTAAGCCAATAGGAATAAATAAATAAAACCAACAGAATACAAAATTTTAATGATCTAGTTTTAAAATAACAACGAATTTTTTCCTTGCTTCACTCAGAAAACAGATTATTTTAAAACTGCTACGAAGAGCATGGTTCTCACACGTCGGGCAGAATGAAATTCCCTTACTTTTCCCTGACCGCTTGATTTATGCTAGTAATGTATCATTACCTATACTAAAACAAAACATTGTTCTTGTATTGTTTAATAAAGAAAAAATGGAATGTATGTTAAGAGTTGCACATCACAACACCCACGTAACAAAGGCAGTTAGATTATCCATTTCTTTAGGATAGTGCATACCAATTACACTGTTTAATTTAAATCACAGGAACAGCTTAAACAACACTACATTTTGTTACGCTTAAAATGTTGACAACCACTGGCTATAGATTTCTCTAGACCAATCGTGATGTGAGAGTCTTATCGATTTTTCTAGAACCCATCTAATATATAAACAGTTAACAGGCAGCATGATATGTCATTTCTGGATAGTATTTGTTTGTGCATGCACTTTGATAT